TATTGAGAGAAGTTCTCTCAACAGGATCTCATGCCATGATTCGCACCCCCACACACACACCAAAGCCTTCCCAGCCAGACAGGATTCTAGGTGTGTGTGCTGAGCATCAACAGGTTGACTGAGGAACCAAACACATGTTCTTCCACATGAGTCCAATTTTGATAAGCTGCACATTACTTCTGCTTCACTGAGATGACCCATTAATGACTAACTTAGTAATGAGACAGTTAACTGTTTCAGTTTTTTAAATATCTATTTTAAATATATTACCGAGGATGAGTAGACATGATAAATAGAAAATAGAGATACACATTGCTAGAGACATATCAATCAATCTGTTTCCATCTTTTGCCTAATATAGTAGATAAAGTTTACTAGACAACAGGCATTGTTAATGAGTGGCTGTTTCTGAGAAAGGATTGCAAAATACTAGTAAAGTAGCTTAAAACTCTATATCAATTATCAAAAATATTTATCATTTTTCTAAACTCTAACCTCATTTCAACACTGAATTCCATTTTGAATTATATGTAGTGTTTTTGAGTGAGTATGTGTGTGTGTATTTTTTTAAATCAAGAGATTTTTGCTATAGGGTGCATGCACTTGCTGGAGAGACAGACAGAGACAGAGAGACAGAAAGCAAGAAATCACTCCCAGGAGAATGGCCACACCACAATTCCTTCTCCTCCATTCTCCTCTAGGGCTCTTGGGCACATATGCACACATGTCCTGCATGAGTTTGAAGTTGCCAGGTCCAGAACTTGAACAGCAGTCAACTACATTGGAAGTGCAGCAGTGTAACAATTATGCCATCTGCTGGTCCCTGGAATGTATATATCAGTACAGCAGTTTTAGTGGTTGTTCTAGGTTTTACGCTATATTTGCAAAGACAGAACTTATTTGTATTTTACCAGCATGGATAAATTAAAGAAACATTACCTTCTTTTTCTCAATGTTACACTGCCCCATTAATATAATTGTCTTAAATACTTCCTCTATCTACATTAATTACCACACCAGATTATTTTTTCTGTCTATAAACCCAGAGGTCCTCTGAGAAGGACTTAGAGCTTTCTCTCAGAGGTTGGTTCTTACGGCATGAAAAACTACGGGTTCTGTCAAAATCGTGTGAAGTGAGGAAAATATTCAGGACTTTCATAAGGAGAAAGTCTCAGTAATGATAGAATTTTTACCTCTCTGTGCAGTTGGTAATGGAGTTAAAGTTACCAAATATCTTCACTTTTTTTTTTTAAAGCATGTGACATCTATTATACCTGAGTGAGAGAACTGCAAACTCATATTCAGTTCAGAATTAAGTTTGCAATGCTAAAAGTTAACTTGCAATAATATTTCATTGATTCTAAGACTATTAGCTGGCTTTTATATTGTTTGTATAGCATACAATGCTCCTCATGTGACCCAGCTACCTCCCTGCCCTGTCACAGAAGCCCTACTAACCATTTCCTGTAATGTAACACTTGTCATCTTCCCAGAGAGTGGTTCTCAACCTGAGGGGCTCATTAACATCACCTGCAGAACTTAAAAACTCTAATGCCTTAGCCCAAACCCCAAAATTGAAATTTAATTGGATAAAATCATTCCTAAAATTCACTAAAAGCATGTAATGTACCCCAAGGTAATTTAGTGAATCGTGTTCCTACCTGTGGCAATCAATACTTTCAAGTAATCTACATAGGACAAAGAGAGACTGATTAATTTTCCTCTGTCAACTAAGTCCCATGTTTCTGAATAATAGTGGAATCAAGAGCTGAATGAGAGGAACAAGTGAGTGCAGAGAACATAGCAGAGACATTGAGAACAAAAAGTTAAAGGTAGAAAAGGGTCTCTGGCCCCTGCTTCCTAAAGACTGTCTGTTATTTTGTCTTAGACATTCATGTGTACACCTCTGCCTTTATAAACAATTTCTTTTGCCCTTTAAACTTGTAAGAGTTTATTTTTGTGATATCCAACCTAGTGGTCTTGAAGACTCCTACCTGATCGAATTGTTCAACTCTAAATCTCCAGCTCATTAACCTCTAAATGTAAATGGCACTCATTATCTAAAGCACTCTTGCCATTTAGGAATTTGTGCTCTGTGTTCGAATCCTTTCAGTCCACTCCTTACCCTATAGATAAATAGATGCTGAGTGATAATTACACAGTATATGTGTTTACTCAGTAGGTTGAAGATGTTAGAAATTTGTTCTTTGTTGAAGATAATTATGTATTGTTATCTGTTATTAAACAAGTGACTTGCCATAAAGAAAAGTTAGTAATCATTGCTAAAAAGAATGATGTGATTGAAATAAGTGAACAAATAATATGGAAATAATAACACCTATGGTGTTTTACTTAGGGAAATACATGTATTTCTTTTTCTCATTTTCTAACCAACGGTATGATTCCCAAATTATTTTGTCCCATTTTCTAGAGAGTTCAAGTTTAAAAATGGTTAAGTTGCTCTCCACCTAGTAGAAACATGTAGACATCAACACCCACTTAATACTAGCTCTATACAAAAGATGCTCAATGAATCTTTACTTCCTGAAACTAAGATTCCCTAATTCAACAAAATTATAAGGTCCTCTGGGACAACTATGTTTTCGACATTAGTCATGACAACATCTAGCACTGTACTTTGTACAGAATAGAGGCTTTATTCATGAATCTGCTTAAATGAATAAATTAGATCAATTCAGCTTTTATATACCAGCTGTACATATTAAAGATAAGTGCTAGCACCAAGCCCACACATGAAGGAAAGTGATAGTTTTACAATGCTATTTACAATAACGTTTTGAGTCTGTTAACATCTTTTCCCATATTTTAATAATGCAATCCATGTAACTTATAAGATACTCTCCTCTAATAGGAAACAGCTTTTATGCAGATTGTAAATTTGCTAGTCCCAGTGAAAATCCATGAGTACAAAAACCTAAATGATCACTGAATTCCACTAACATCCAGAGATCGTGTGGTGTTCCAGCACAAGACTTACTGACATAAATACAGGATGACAGAAGACAAAAATATATATGTAATGGTCAAATAAACATTTTAGATTTTTATTAGGGAAAAATCATAATCTGTCAATATACTGTTTCAAAAATTCATTGAAATGATTATTTAGACAGAAAAAAATCCATTTTCCATTCTCTTGAGAATGTTTAGAATATTCACAGAGAAAGCAATCCAATATTTCTTCAAATGCTGCACTTTGGATTGATTAAAATGTTTATATATTATTAATGGATATTGTAATTTCAAAGTTTCTAAAGGCATTTTTTTTCCCAATGATAGAGATCAAAAGCAAAACACTGACTTTGAGTTACAAATTTGCACTCTTATAGGTATGGGAATAATATATTTTGTTCCATCAACATGTCTACTTTACATTATTCAGCACAAAGCTTTGTGAAATAAGAATCATGGGAATATAAGAATATAAAGGAAAAAGGTACAAATAACAGCTTCATAAACTGAGAAATGTACATAAATAAATCATGTATATGTGGGCAGTTTGCTTAGCTGGCAAGAAACAAAATATGGAAAATCTGCTTGTTAAACAATAACTACAGAGTGTGCTTTTATGATGTTTTTCACCACAGTAATTCATATTAGAGATAGAAGCAGTTGCATGTTAAATAAAATCATTGAGCATTGTTCCCCTCGTATTGCAAAGAGCTGACTTATGTTGTTTTTAGATGCCTCCCATTAGAAAGTAAATATTCCTTCAATGCTATGCATTTCACAAAATTTAATAAAGACGAACTGTAAATAAAGTCACAGGGAGATTTCAGACAGTTTTATTAGGAGATTGTTGAAAAGAAAAAGAAAATTAAATACAATAACAGTAAACGTGGTTCTCACATTGAAACCAGGCTCAAATAACTAGGCTACCATAGAAAAATTTCCAATTCTTGCATTATGATGTAAAAACAGATTTTTGTACAGATTTTGTACAACAAAATTCGTAATAACCTTTTATCATTTTTAGAAAACTTTAAATATATAGATAAAAATAGACAATTTTCATAGGTCCTACGTGAAGATGAGTATGTTCTGTTCCAAGGGCTTGCATAGAGCACAAATGTGGTTATAATATAGAACAACTAGACATTAATATTGTTAGGATTACAAAAGCATGGAAACCATAAAATGGGCACAATTTTCCTTGTTTATGCCAAAACACAAATTTCCAAACCAACCTGTAGAACTAAAAAAAAGGGGGGAAATTAAGTTACAGACTTACAATAACATTTCATGAATTGGAATATTTACAACATGTTAGTAAGAGTCTCTTAACATAGAGCTGACATCTTTTCTTCTTTACGCCTTGCTACAATATCCCTTTCTGTTGAACGTTAACACTAAAGCATTCTCAAAGGTCTTGAAAGTATGCCTTTTCAACCTATTTAACCCACTTAACAAGTGACCCTATACCAGGAGCAGAGCAATGGCTGATTCTACTATATATGGAAGTTGTAGGCTTTTTAAAAAATCTTTTGAAAAATGTGTGATTCAAAAGCTTGCCAAAAGTCCACCCAACTAGACGTGTTATAACCCTTTAAAGACTGCATATAGGGAAAG